CGGGAATTAAATACATATGGTGTGGAGACTAATTTGATGAATGAAGCGTGTGGTGGGAATTTGAATCAAATGAACAAGAAAGTGACGAACAATTCCAGCCTGTAGTAACGGCCAAAGCATTAAGTATGTAATATGAACCTTGGTTGGAGAGTAGCAGTAAACCCAAAAGATAACAGGAGCAGCGGGTAAACAAGGAGAATAGATGCGTATTAAGTATGTAATATGAACCTTGCTCCATTAAACAACTCAATAAGCAACGAACCTAACAAGTTCAACAATAGATTACCATCTCAATTAAATAACATATTATTATAAGTTATCATATTATCAGTAACTTAGCAAATATTCAAATAACAGAAAAGTTTAAGTTAAGAGAAACGTTTGAGTAAGTTTTATTAAATTCACACGTTAAGAGAAAAGTTTGAGTGAGTTATTCATATATTAACTTAAGTTTAAGTTAATAGAAAAGTTTGAGTGAGTTATTCATATATTAACTTAAGTTTAAGTTAAGAGAAAAGTTTGAGTGAGTTTTATTAAATTATAAGAGAAACATGAGAGTTTAAGTTTAAATAAACTTACAAAAGGTTTTAGATTTATAGTAGGTTTAATTAACATTAACAGATCAACTTAAAGTAAACTTAATCACCTTAACATATAAACAACATCTCCATTGAGGGAGGTTCAATCTGAAATAATAAAACAATGATCGAAATACTCCATAAAATAATGATTGAAAAACAATAATAAGTTGGAGCCTAAATGATAAAAAAATAGGAGTCCATTCTGAAATAATTAACTTAATTAGCTTGATAAACTATGAGTATTGCAAGAACGATCATCTATCCAAATCCCAGCCTATAAAAGTTAAAAAAAACGGTTTATAATTCTTTGAGGACTTTTGTCAAACAGTTAACATACACAATTCCAACACTAAAAGTTTCTTAAATTTACTTCTAACTTTCTATCAATCATTCACAATTTCACACACATTCATATGTATTGACTTCCATGTTCGTAATATATAAACAACAAACCATATTTCGAATTTGCTAAAAAGCTGAAAATTTTGAAAAAAAAAATAATACAGAGTGAAGAGATTACATGTGAAAAGTGTTGGCTGGTGCAGCTGGTGCCTGGCGGTGGAGAGGTTGACACTTCAAACAGGCTGATTGGAGGTCATTAGTTGACGCTAAAGAGCAGAAATATTGAGAGGAGGTGAAGTTGGGAGAGAAGGAAGCAGATAAGTCTCGATCTGAAAAATAAAGTGGGCAAGCAGCAGCGGAATTTATCAACTAAAACCTATGGCCGATTTTCTTAAATCGCCGATTACTGTATCAGTCGGCCGATTAATCGCCCAGGCGTCCGAAAAGTTGGATACCCGACTTCATCACCCGATTTTAGTATAATCCCTGCGCCACACGACCGACTAGCAACTAGGCAGCGCCTAGGCGGCCGCCTAGCCCGATTTTTAGAACATTGGTTGTGCATAGACGGCGATGTCTTCTACTCCGGAGTCTAGGCTGCGCATTGAAGGCGGACTCTTCTACTCGGGAGTCTGGGCTGCGTGTGTATGGCATCTCTTCATCTCCGGATATGGACTTTCATAGTCTTTCCACTTCTAGAGGTGGAGAGCTTTAGGTATGTGTCTGTGCATCGAGGTCTTTAGGTCGGGGACAGGATCGGAGTTTAACTATTCACTCCGTAAAAAGTACTCCGTATAATTTTTACTCCGTCTTAAAATTTGAGTGTCACTATAGATGGTAAAATCAGTTAGGCTGATAAAATAGTGTCATAAATGCCTAATATAATGGATAGTGTCACTAAAATAGTGTCACTGTAAGCAGTTTTTCTAGTAGTGTGATCATGTGTAAGAGTGTGTAAGAGAATAGACAATCCCCATTGGAGATGCTCTAAGCTTGGCAGACGTGTCAACGGGAGTTGCCACGGGTTTGCAATTGGTCATAACAGCGCGAGCAAGAATTTCTTGAGCATAGGTAGATTGTGACAAAAATAGACCTGATGGAGATCGAGTCACAATAATTCCATGGAAGTGATGTAAGGAGCCAAGATCAGTCATGGAGAACTCTCGCTTCATCAACGTGATAAATCGGTGAAGAAGGGCATCTAAAGAAGCTGTGAGAAGGATGTCATCCACATAGAGCAGGAGATATGCAGGAGATATCCATCTCGATCCGAATACAAAGGATTTGAGCTCTTCAACCTTTTCTCCTTTTAATTGTTTGCACCATTACATCCATCCAAACACCACCACAGTTATGTGTTGTGCTTTTATGGTGAAAAAAATAAGATATTTTCATTTAATGTGTACCACAATTCCTAGTTTGGTTTCAATCGGTTTAGGTGCATGGGTGAAACGCTCCATAACCGGTTAACCTCCGTATAAGTATAGTATTTACGATCAGGTCTGGTCCGGTCAGGTAAATATTTGGTCTCTATGTATTTTATAACTATCCTAATCTGGTTTGATCAGGTGTGGTTTGGGACAGAAAAAAGCTCGATTAAAAACATCCTAATTCTACCATATTTTGCACTTCAAAATGATTTCATCAATCTATTTTCATTTTAAAGATGAACATTAGTTCTCTCACATAGTAATTTAGAGCCCGTTTGGTAACATTGAAAATTATTGCATCGATTGAATCTGCTGAAATCGATGAAGTTATGGTTTATGTGGCTAAGGGTTGGTTTGCAACTCCTTTTAAAAAATCACTTCTCAGCTTTTGGCTTTAAAAAGCACTTATTTTCCCAAACACTACAACTTTTATTTTTCTCGGCTTCCGCGTCAAAAGTGTTTTTACTTTTTCTATTATACAAAAAGCACTTATTTTACCAAACACTATCCACTTTTACTTTTCAAAATCACTTTTTTCTCAAACACTATCAACTTTTATTTAATCACTTCTCCCTATTTCATTAAAAAAAGCACTTTTTAAAAGCAGAAGTTGTTGCAAACAGACCCTAAGTATGTTGAACTTTGGAAACATTATTTTTAAAATATACTCCGATCCCTTCATCCCGAAATTTAAATTCCTGATTTGACCGACACACATATTTATGTATGATAGAGTTCAGGGCCGAACCCTCTCTAGAGGCAAAGAGGCCGTTGCCTCATGTCCCAAAAATTTGGTCAATAATAGGGGCCTATAAATAATTTAATTCTAGTAGTATGTATAGGCCCCTATTATTGACCAAATTTTATCATGCAACTGTGTGGGATTAATTATTTGATGTAGGCATATAAATTAAATTAGTGCTTACAAATCTTAATATCCAAATTTTACATTATTTAAACGTCTTTTACAAAAATTCGACTCAAGCCAAAAAAATGCTAGGATCGGCCCTGATAGAGTTTTGTTTTCACTTTCCAAGTATATCTTTGCTTTATGTCAAATCAAGCAAAATGTGGGTACAAAGTAAGAGTAATTGTGACTTTTTTATTATTAAAAGTGGTTTCCTCTTATTGAAATGACAAATGCTTTTTGGGACATCCATAAAATGAAAGTCTGAACTTCTTTTTGGGACGGAGTTAGTGTTTTATAATAAAAATTGACCTAAATAGGAATAAATGGAAAGTTAATTTCAAAAATAAGACAAGAGCCTAAAATCATTCACAAATAGTACTAAACATTAAATTCCACCCTAAATACCACAAAGACTATTACTTCATAATAAAATGTTTTAATTCATAATAAAATCGTATAAGATAATAGAAATTGAAAAAAAGAAGAAGTAAAGTTTACAAAATATTTATAAAATAAAAATTTTAAAAAAAATTATAATAAGAAATATTAAAAAAACCATAAATTAAAAAAAGCAAAGCATGCAGAAGCAATATCAGTTCCAAACACCCCTTAGTCCTATTTGTGATTTTTGGCTAACTTTTACTCCTAGTTAATTAGGTAATTCATTCATTTTATTAATAAACAAGGAAAAAATTATATGAAAAAATAGTTAAAATAATTCTTTTGAGAAATCTCATCAATTTAAAAGTGATTTCAACATTACTTAACTTGATTATAACACAATTCAATGTGCTAATCAAAAGTCACGTATTTATGCCTATCTATGCCTATCCTGCCCTTATTACTAAACATAGTCTCGACTCTCGAGACTCTAAGTCTCAACATAGAGTGATCAAGTCGATGCTTTTGGATTTTAAGTCTCAACATAGATCTTGATTTTTAAGTATTCATTGTTTTTATAATTAAAAATTTAAAGAAGAATACATATATTTATATGAAATTTACAACTATATACTTGTATGTTTTTTAATTGTGGGTACATGTTCAAGTGAACATTTTGGAACTATACAAGTCCGCCACTCAGGGGCGGTGCCAGGGGGTCAGGGTGGTCAGCCGACCCTGATGAAAGTTAAAAAATGTAGAGCTCTGAAATACCTTCGATTTGATATATTATGGGTCTCGTAACTCATTACGAGTAAAAAGTTATGACTTCTGAAAAAATCAGCACCATTGTAACTTGAAATAAGCGAAATTTGATGTGTGACGTTGATTATATTCTTAAATTTAAAAATAAAACACCTTATTTAGTCATTAGTTGTGTGACCATTATGATACATTACATATATATCAATACATTAACTGAAAAGAGCTCATTAAACTATCATTTATCTTAGCTACATATGAAACATTAATTCAAGTATTGTATAATAATTATCTATCATTTTAATACTGTGTATAATTAAAATCCTACCCTCTCACACACTTTTTTGGCTCCGCCCCTGCCGCGCCCATAGCCCTAGCTTCTGTAAACTTCCCAGAACGAGGAATAAAGCTGAAGGGAAATCTTCTTTCCCATTTTGCGTAATGTACTTACGATAAAAATGATTAATACGGAGTATATATAGTTGATAAGCAGGTACGTTGTCATTTAGTTCTGATTGATACTCTAGCTATCTACCTATAAATGGCGAAATTAATTTAGGTAAACCTTTCCTAGCTATAAATGGCGCCGTAAATAGAAGGTCCGCCAAAAGGGGCTATATATACCCATCCAAATTAACGAACTATGTATCCCATCTCCCACACGATCAACTATATAGATAATAGATGGAGTCGCTACAGATAGATGAGCCGTTGACGCCTGCCGGCCGGATGTTTCTCCAACCGGAGATGAGCCAAATTATACACGCAGTCGCCGGCGTCAAGAATCCGTTCGACGTAGACGCCGTTAAAGCGGCTTTCGCGGACTCTCTGCTGGTCAAACACCCAAGATTCAGCAGCCTCATGGTCAAAGATTCCAACGGCCGCGAAAGCTGGCGGAGAACCGAAGTCAACATCGACGACCACTTCGTCATCCTCCCGGAGCCTCTCACCGCCGACCGCTCCGTGTCGGACGAGGACGCCGTCAACGATTACGTCGCCGACCTCGCCGTCTCGACGCCGCTCCCCTCCGACAAACCGCTGTGGGAATTCCATCTCCTTCTCGCCCATAAATGCGCCGTTCTCAGAATCCACCACGCCCTCGGCGATGGGATTTCGATCGTGTCCTTGTTCCTTTCTTGCTGCCGGAAAACCAGCGATCCCAGCCAGCCGGCGTCAGTGGGTGACGTCGGAGTGGGGCGGCGGCGGAGGTGGGGCCTCAGGGAGTTGGCATTGGTGGTCTGCTACACGGTGGTATACGTGTTGGAGTTTATACTGAGAAGTCTGTGGCTGAAGGATAAGAAGACGGTTCTGACCGGCGGCGCTGGGGTGGAGCTCTGGCCGCGGAAGTTGGCCACCGCCAAGTTCACCATTAACGACATGAAAACAGTTAAGAAAGCGGTTGCTGACGCGGTAAGTCTCTTTCCTACATGTTATATCTCCATGTGTTGACTTTATTTATTTGGTAATAACATTGTTTGACAACAGTAAAACACATTGCAATTAGTCACACATCACTCTCACCAAGATGCTTACACACTTTTTGTACACATAATCTACCCTGCATCTATGTTTAGAAAGACAATAATTATACAAGTATTTGTTAAGAAAGTGCCTTTTGTATACATAAACTAGTAGTGGTGTACACCATATGTGTACAAATTCATTAAAGGACCATGTATGTGTATATAAAGCATAGCTCCTCACTCAAATAGTCTATCCTATCATTTATACTCATTTTAATCCGAAACGTAATTAATACTATGATGAGCTCAACTTGAATATATAAAAACTATCCAACTAATTTGAAATTATACTAATATATGGTAGCATTTTGTTGAATTCTTGAACTTATAAGCCAAATCCAATTTTAATTTACTACTCCCTCTCTCCCTTAAAACTTTGCCATCTTTGAATTTTTTTGTCAATCATATTCAACTTTGACCAATTATATATCTTTGTAGAAAATTATTTATGATATAAAAATTATATGAAAACGTTCTATGTTAGAAGTACTTCCATAAAAGTAAAAAACTTACCACTTTCATAATATTATACTAATCAAAATCATGGTCCAAACTTTACCAACATTGACTTGAAAAGTCAAAGATGGCAAAGTTTTTATGAACGGAGATAGTATGTCATTATTCTAAGTTTCTTTAATTTGTTGCTAATAACACATACTCGTATGTAGTACGTAGTGTGATATTATGATAATCTATATTTTCAATAGTTATTTCAAAGGATAATTTCCTGACTAAATCAATGTTGAAATGCACAATTAGGACTCTCATATTTTATAGGACCAAAAATCAACAGATTAGACAAAATTGCCCTTAATGAAATTAAGGGTTAAATAAATAAATAAATAAATAAATAAAACCTCCCCCCGTATTCGACGATGCACATAGCTAATGCACATAGTTGATGCACATAGCCTGAACTCCAAACCACTGACTCCTTCAGCACCTTCCGTGCACTGCCGCCGTTGTCGAGATCGCTGCCGCAGCCAAGTGAGACCGCCGCCGCTATCGCCATAGAGATTTCCGCTGCACACCTCCTGAGAGGCGACTTACCCTTTTCTGCAGCGATAATGGAGTCATAGCTAAATTTCTCTGGAGGTGTTGGCATCTTCTTAGTCACGTTTACCTCATGTGGAGTGTATGGTATCAATTTCAGGCAAAATTGCAATTATGATAACAATAATGACAAAAAAGTGCCATTTTTACATGCAAAAACATGGAATCTTCATATTCCAAATTATGGTATTTTCACATTTTAGAGTTGAAAATGTGTAATAAGAGAAGAAAAATGAAGAAGCAATGTTGTCGACAAACTCAATTCAATGCCCTAAAAATGCCACAATTTGTGAAAATGTTAAAAATTTGGCATTTCGAAAGATGCAATATTTCCACTCTCCGTGAAAAAAATGCCATAAATGTGGCATTTCTTACAAGCTGATAAAGATAAACAACAATAAAATTTATCTTATTTTTTTAACAAGAGCCTCGAATTTTCATACCCAAATGTTTTGAATTCAAAAGTTTCAAACCGAAAATTATATTTCCATTGAGAATAAAAAAAAAATCGAATAAATTAATAAAAAATAATCATAAATGCAAGATGAGCAAAAAATAGAGGAGGGGGAGGAGGAGGAGGAGAGAAGAAGGAGAAAAAGGAAGAGAAAGAGGAGGAGGAGGGCATTACTTGTGCCGAAGCTGGTCGGAGTGGTGCGCTGAAGAGAGTCCCCATACTCCATGGGAGATGAGTTTGGCGATGCATAAAAGAAGACGCCGATCGAGAAGTAAGATGCGGAAGATGGACAAATGGGGTTTTATTATATTAGGGGGTAAATCGGGAATAAGGAGTCCTATTTAAGAATAATAAAACATTAACTCCCATTTAGAAGTTTTTACCATAATTTGGTCCTATTTAGGGATAAAACCCCTTATTTCAATTGTTTTTGCAAAATGTGTCTACTTCGTTGCGCTCACGTTTCACTTGCTAGTTGGTACCAACTTTTTGCAGTTCCATACTTCCATAAAAGATTCTAGTTTCGTTTTTAGTTATTCTAAGAACTTACAAGACCACATCATTTTGTGTGTGTGAAATAATATTAATCACACTATTTCATAGTGTGATTGTACTTATAAATGGTACTTATAAACGGTAATTAGTACTATCTCCGTCCCAATTACATGTTATCTTTGTAATAAAATGACACAATTATTTAGACAAAAAATTAATTGCAATAACTCGAGTATATTTGAGATATAGTTTTGATGAATATATAATATAATGAAGTCATTCATGGTTAATGTAATGTTAAAAGTATATTATTTTAAAATAGAATTGTTTTTTAAAATAAAAAAATAACAGAAAAACTTAACACCATTAGCACTCGATTTATTTTTGTCAAATAGTTAACTAGTTGTTGGTATTATTGTTGTGAACTTTTCAAGTAGGGATTATTTTTATAAAATGTATAAAAGTAGAGATTATTAGTATCAAATTTCGCCTAAAGACTTAGATAATCGGTGAATGTGTAATACCTTCTACAAAAAACACATTTATTCAATTTTATTGAGTTAATTATCAAAATAGGACTAAAAGTCATTCACTTTGCACAAATAGGACCAAAAAATAAACTATGTTTTCATAGGACTAATTATGTGTGTCTTGGACAAATATACCCTTATACCTATTGGAATGTTTTAATTCATAATAAAATATAAAAAGTAATAAAAATTCATAAAATATACCAAAAAAATAGTAAAAAATTTTTGAATAATAATAAATTTAAATTTTTAAAAAAAAATTAAAAAAATAAAAAGAAATGATTTTTTTTGTCACCGCCGCCTCTGCCGCCCCAGCACCACCACCTCCAGTCATTTGTAGAAAAAATGCCAAATTTATTATGAATTTCATATTTTTGGCATAATTCAGAATGATTTAAGATGGAAAAATAAAAATGTTGGCATTGTCAAAGAGAAATATGCCATGTTTTAGGCATTTTCCGAAAAAAATGAAAGTTTGTAGGAAATATGGCATTTCTTTAACGGTCGGAGGGGGTGGTGCAGGGAGGCGGTACCACCAACTCCTGTCACCGGGGTAAAAAAATGCCAAAGAAATTATGAATGCCATATTTTTGGCAAAAGTCAAAAGGATTCAAGTTGGTAGAATGAAAATGTTGGCATTCTCATAGAGAAATATGCCATTTTTGTGGAATTTAAAAAAAAAAGTGGCATTTTTTACACCGATCGGAGGTGGTGGTTCAGGGAGGTAGTACAGGCGGTGGGAAAGGTATCCATATTTTTTTAATTTTTTTTATGGAGTTTTACTATTTTTTATTAATTTTTAAAAAAAAATAAATTTTTTTTCTTATTTTTTATTTTATAAAAATTTTATTAATTGTTTTTATTATTTTTCTATGAATTATTAAATTTTTTCGAATTTATTATGAATTAAACATTTAATTATGACTTTTAGCTATCTTTTATTAATATTTAAAGGAGGGGTAAGAATGGAAGGAAGAAATGGGTATGTTTCCGGACCACTATGGTCCTATTTTGGAATAAAAATATAGCAAGTCCTATTTTGATTTTTTGTCATAGTTTTAGCCCTATTTTAAGTAATTTCTAAATTTTATTTGGAGGAAAAGAGATACTCCGTAATAAATTTAGCCAAAACTGAGGGGACATGATACGAGGTGTCTTAACTTTTGGGTTCAACATTATTGTAAGACAGCAGTGTACCCCTTCGTCCTTTAGTTTTTTGTGTGGGCTGGGGCTTGAGAATTGGAGATAACCCGTTTTAATTTCAATACATGTTATAGTACAAAAGTTGTTACCACAGGAATGACACATCGGTAGTACTCCCTCCGTCCCAGAAAATTCTTCCTAGTTTGACTTGGATCGGAGTTTAAGAAAGTGCGAATAAAGTGGAAATGTGTGGTTGTAGTTGTGTAAGAAAAAGGTGAAATGAATGTGAGCCACACAAATAATCAAAAAGGTGAAGTTGGAAGAATTTTCTGGGACGTCCCAAAAAGGAAAGTTGGAAGAATTTTCTGGGACGGAGGGAGTAGTAAGTAGCACTTACGGGTTCATAGATCACACGTTTTAGTTTTCAACTGCCACAGAGCTAGAGCTTTCAAATTTATTAGCTTGGGGTTGAGTATGAACGAACCTAATCAATTTGGCTTGAGCTCGGATCGTGCTCAACTATGATTTGGTCTCGTCTAATACTCCCTCCGTCCCGTTGGAATATTCCCGCTTTCCTTTTTTGGATGTCCCAAAAAGAAGTTCTCATTTCCCTAAATGAAAAGTTATCCTACATCAAAACAGTGTCAAATAGTGCAAAACAGTGCAAAACAATGCCAAACAGTGTCCAAACAGTGTCAAAATAGTAAAATTTACCCCCTGGTAAGTTTATTTCCTTAATATGTGTGTAGGTCAAACCGGGAACATTCCAACGGGACGGAGGGAGTATGTTCTGATAAATATCGAATCTATGTTTTTATAATTGTCGAAATCTGATTTAGTCTGGAACTCAAATAAATCCAAGTAAAAACACCGCAACTCTTCTTTGTTCGGGTTGAAAATAAATTTTCTATTTACTCCCTCCATCCCGCTAAGATTATCTCATTTTACCTTTTTGGGAAGTCCCACTAAGATTGTCTCATACCAAATTTGGTAAAGATTGTGTGACTCTAAACCATTCTTACCTTATTCTTACTTTATCAATTTAATATAAACCACACAAACTCACTTTTTTTAATAATTGTGTCACTTTATCTTGTCTCAATCTTAGTGGGACGGAGGTAGTATATTTTTAAAATTATCAATGCTATATTTATACAACATGCAAATCAATAAATAATATATACTGTTTTTTATTAGATTCTCTCTCCGGCGACCGGCCTTCACTAGCATACATTTTGTTTTCACTTCTTATTTAAATAAATAATTATAAATATATATATATATATATATATATATATATATATATATATACACACACACATAACAAGTAAGTTTTATAGTTACCACAATGTAACATTTGAATCTAATTATAGTCACTAAAGTTACTAGAGTCACATTCTTGTCCACTACTTTTATTTTGGTTTATATTCGTAATTTCAGGTTTCAAGTTGTTTTTTTTCTATGAAATGTAAATATATATAGAATCAACCAAGAATGTTTATGTACATCATATACAAAAAGCAAAAACTATAGGCCAATCCTCATGTAGGATGCCTCTTCCTCTCTATTCGATAACTAACCGTATAAGTTAGCTATCCACCACAAAAATCAGCCATCAAGCTATTGACAAAATAGGGGTCTAAACAGCCCCAAAGTTTCAAAAAGTAATCTTATGGACTGGGTATAGCGAATAGAGAATTTTGTACACCATATACTTGATATGCGACACAATATCCTCCACCTTAGCCTTAGCTCCATCAAAACATATAGCATTTTTAGTTCTCCATGTCCAATAATAGACCGTGTAGCACAGTGAAATCCTTATGGCCTTTGCTTTGATATTTGCTCCGTTATGCTCTTCTTTAATCCATTTGACCGCACTCAACAGTGTTGTCATTCGTCTTTTTAGCCCAAGCCATTGCCTCACCATGTCCCATACCTGACCTGTAAAAATACAACCAAAAAATAGGTGTGGTATCATTTCCGGACCACCCTTACAAAAAGAGCACATATTAATTACATCAAGAAACCCCAAGTTATCATACGTAGGTAGCCTGTTTCTCAAGGCAAGCCATATGATGAATGAGAACTTTGGGGGTATATAAGGTTTCCATATAAAAGACATCCACGCCCGAGGGGTGGCTCTAACTCTAAGTAATTCATAGACCTTTCGTGTTGCCAGCCTTCCATTAGGGGCATTCTTTTGAAGGAAAGCAATAGCCGTATCCAAAGTAGTGAATTTGGAGACAATGGAGTCTCAGATCATGGCTATTCTCTTCATTAGTTGGGAATCCCTATTGTGTGGAACAAACGTCCACACGTCCCTCCCATGGAGGTATACCCCGTGCATTGTAGGTCTCTTATTTATTTCATTCGGTTTGTGTTTTATGTGGATAGAGAGTGGTCTTTTTAATTGACATTTGGCAAATTCTAGCTTCAATTGAAAGAATAGCATTGGAGATGCTCTTAGATTGCTACCTGTCTTAGGAGTGTATATGTGGATTGGATCAGTTCCCGATCTGATAGGAAACACTGAATTAGAATCTTAATTAGGCTAAGATAATGAAACCTGGCCGGATATAACCAATTAAAACAATCAAAACTACCGCAACAAATTGTCCTAAATAAGAGTAAAAACGTTTTGGATCGGAATTCCAAAATAGGGTTGCTATGTTTATCTTCCTCAAATATGAGTTGTTGTTACCATGATTGAAAAATACTTCCATTAATGGCAGTAAATACTATCGTGTTAATGCTTAATATTGCAACTATTTTGATAATAATGACTCCAATATGATAATAAATATTGCCATATAACTCCTATTTCAGGAAGAAAAACACAACAATCATATTTTGGAATTTCTAAACATTTTTCTCCTACTTCGGGAATTTTTCCTAGTACAATTCGGTTCCATTTTCAAAAGATTAATATCGAAACTAGTCTCGACTAAATTTGGCTTCAGTTCCAAAACCCGAAAATAAACCAGTATTGTATTACTCATATCCCACATTTGATTGAGGAGATGGTGCTACTGACCTACAGTTAAAAGGTTTGTATTATAATTATGTGATTGATAATGAATTGATAAAATAAGAAATAAATTAGGAATGATTTAAAATGATGCATATAGCCATATATTACCAAATTTGATATGAAATACTTTGTAATTTTTTATGAGATGCCAAAAAAAACATGAGACAATATCATAAATTGAGAGAGGGGATGCTAAATAATGACCGGCCCGGGGAGGTTGGTGTGTCTCACTCGGTGAACACCCACTCCCAACTCTCCTTAATAAGAGATCTTAAGTTCAATTCCCACAATCCCACCTATAGGAGTTGAGGGGGGCCGGGTCTTCCTCCTTAACTTTGAAGTAGCTCAGTGATTGAGGAGAAGGAGGATGACGATGTTGATATTGAGTTCGTAGTTGGAATTTTACTTTTACTGGTGTTGATATTTTTATTTTTGTCATCATCATTATTGTTATTTGCATAAATATTAATATTATTATTAATACAATGATTTTCAATATTAATTGGGTATCATTTATATATAAGTTGGGCATCAGTTTTAGACAAATATGACTATCGATCATTCACTCACTCCGAATTAGAAAAATCTATGCTTTTAACAGAACTAAATAATTTCTATATCGAAAATATAACAAAATTACTCCTATGTTTTCATGTTTTACTTCTATTTTGTGTAGTTACTTATTTTTATTACATTACAGTAAGTTTTGTACAATATACTTCGTATGTCAATTAAAGAATCGTGCAGACCATCAATGATGTACTTTTCGGAGTGATTGCATGTGGGCTATCAAGGTACCTTGCCATCCGACCCTCCAAAGGTAAATAAAATTAAGTAGTACTACGTACAAGTTATAGATTTTTTCATGAAATTACTGAGAAATTGCATTGTAGCCAGGCTAAAAAAAACGTAATGCGCTTATATCATTAAAGACTAAAATTAAATACTAGACTAGACCGGTATCACGATTTCTTTGGATAAATATTTACGTTAAATTTTTATGCTAATAATATTGGTCTAAGAACTTTTGAAATATAGAGTGGACTGGGGCTTGGCATGACTCCCTATCCGGCTATCTCCACCCCTGCTCCCCTCCTAATAAGAAACCACATATAGACAAAAAAAAATGTTTTATAAATACTAATAACTTCGTCTCAATTTGATTATCCTATTTCTTGTTCACTTGATCAAACTTTTACTCTTAATTTTTTACTTTATGTATCAAACTTTTATTAAATTTGATTTTCCCGGTTGCGACTTTGTAAAACTTTTAATGTAGTTTCTGAATATGTAAATTTTATTTACTAAAAATAAATTGAGTGCGGAAATGGATCTGTTTGCTTTATCCTCAGTCAAATCTCGTAAATCGCAATCAGACCATCAAATTGGGACATAGGCAATATATTGTTTTTTGTTATACTATTACGTACAACTAAAACAAAATAGTTTCCAAAAAATCTGAGTTATGTTGTAGAAATGCATTTGTTAGACACAAGGAAAAAACACATTCCCTAAACGACAATTGCATTTGTTGTAGAATTGAAGGATGGCCTCCAGATCACTGGTCTTGCAATGGTAAATTTACGACCACAACCCGGACTTCAGGTATATAGTTTTACTAGCTAGCTAGCCTTGTAATAGTATACATTATTATAAAGGGAGAAATGGCTATATAGGTTAAACAAATAGGTTACTTTTAGTTAATAACCTCTATTATTTTTATTAAAGAATATAGCTCTTTAACAATTAATATAAAAATACGGTTGAGTCAAATACAAGACTCGATCGTATTTGATAATTAAAACTGTATTTAGATAATATCAAATCCATGGATTTCGGTGTTGATATCCGATATTCATATAACTCATAAGATTCTAGGATAATTTAAAGGGCTATGCACTTAATTTTTGTAAATATATAACCTAAACTTAAATGTATGTATTAAAAAATGTATATACACCCAATTATAAATTAGGGGGTATATATTTTGTTTTGATAGAAAGGAAGTATTTATTAATAATAAATATATATGATCAGTACAATAGTAATCCTGATAGCCTAAGGCTACAATGGGATGAGACATAGACTCAATAGTTCCAAAGGAACATAACAATTCGCTAACCTCGCAACGATGTAGACTCCTCTATCTACATATATAACCAATAATCAGTACTAGAAAAGTACTAATCTACGACAGAAAACAAACATATAAATCTGTTTCACCATTCACTGACAAGGAAATAATAAAAAATCTGGTTTGTCCTGCCACCAGAAAGAAACAACTAGAATTCCCAGTTTGACCAGCTACTGGAAAGAAATTAGAAATATCATCGGTTTGACCAGCCACCGAAAAGAAGATCCAATCAAACATTATCTTTCTCTCATAGCACGACGGTGGTTCAGGAGGAGGGCGAATAATTGATGTCTTGAAGTAGCTGATGTCTGAAGTTAAATTAATTAAGTTCCCAATCAAATTAAGCAGGATAAGCATTTTCATCATACTACAATAAAATTTCAATGTCCAATCGGTTTCACCAGTGAGGAATACACAAACCCTAGACATATATTGCTAGGAAGTAACCACATAAAAGAGATAAATTTCATTTTTAGGAGAGGAAAACTGATTGAGAAGAAGAGAAGAGGGGGGAGACGACTAGGTTTTACCCTCCCCCGCTCCCCAAGTCGCCCATTAGGTTTCCTTCCGCGGATCTATTTTAGGGAGTATATTTTATGTACACTATTCCAATAAATACATGCACACAAAAAAACATACATATGCGGATCCAAAAAACTGAAACTAAATATAAAACACCAAACCGAACCGTAGTTGTTTGATTCGGTTTTGGTTTTTACCCTTAAAAGCCTAACCAAATAAACTGAACAAATTAAAATATGAAATTTTATTTTTTAGTTGTTAAGCATTAATTCTAATTAATCCTAATTTCATCGATAGAATTTGGTTTTCTTGTGCTAGAAAATTAACTTTGATGTTATATTTAGTTTAGTTTATTGTTAAGCATTAATTCTAATACTTTAGGCTTTGGAGAACACAAAATGGAGGGCACACATTCGTGTGGACGAGTGATCTCTTTTCTATCTCTCTTCTCACTTTTCTATTATCGTTTATCTTCATTATCTTTTTATGATCTTATGTTATTTTTATGTTCTATCTTTTTTATGCTCTTTTATCTTTTTATCTTTTATCTTTGTTATATTTGTATGTTATTATCATCTTATATTTATCTTTATCTTATCTATTTTATCTTAACCTGTTTCCTTATCTTTCTTCTCTTTTTAGCACTGATATCATAGATTGATTCATGTTAGGCGATCCCAAGTTCTTTTGGGATTAAGCTAAGGATTGGTTGTTGTTGCTGTATTTAGTTTAGTTTATAAATGCATTTACACATTTATGACCTATAATAATGTAGCTATATTGTTCTATTATGTCTTTTATGTGTGTGGGTGTGGGTGTGTAGGTGTGTGTGTGTACGTGTGTGTGTGTGTGTGTGTGTGTGTGTGTGTTGCAATGTATTGAACGATGATGATACGTTTTTACTGGTTATTACTAGTAATTAGCGTTTGTTTTTATACTTCGTATAACTTACATTTTTTATTGATAGAACAAATAAATATTCATCTCAATTATATTACATAGATTTTATATATTCATGAAAATTTTCCAAACTAGTCACGAACAATGTAAATTAAAAATATACATACTTTTATCTCTTCTTTTGTTCTATTTCTTTTAGTATGTTTTCTTTTTTATGTAATATATTTGATCCCTCCAACTATCGTATTATTTTAAATCAAATGATAATTTATAGTAAAAAACAAAAAAAAAATGAAACTAAACCGTAACAACTAACAAACCGAACCAATCAAGTCGTGGCTTCATATTTGGATATGTAAAACCAAACCAAAACTGAACCAAACTTTCTACTTTGGTTCCGTATTTGAATTGGTTTTTGGTCAAAACTGAAGCAAATAAACCGAACTCACCCCTAATAGCTATGTAACACAGATAATTCGATCACTAAATGACTACTGTATAAGCAAATTCGAAATGTTCCATACGAGATACTCTAGGATACCCGTACCGTCCGTTCCTGGGCCGTATCTATAATATATTAAACGTTTCCATTTTTTGGTAGTTATTTTAAAATTTCGGATACACGTGTCAACTTTTTATATAAAAAAAATTAAACTCCCATATTTTACATAATAAATTTTTTTAAAAAAAGAAAAACTAAAAAAATTTCATGCTTTAATCTCGCACACGGCTAAGTATATGAACGGCAAAAGTAAAATGTGCGATGTTGGTGGAGATGACTTTGGAAGCATGGAGGATATATTAGTGCTAGAGTTAGACAATATTTTCATAGATGAACCAGAATTGGAGGCTTTCTTTTTTGAATGCGATGTTATCCCTAGAAATTAGTAGCTTCGGTAGAAATATGTACTAGAAATTTTGATTTTTTTTATTAAAGTATTGTTTGCTAGTACGTTGTAGAGAAAATTCACATGTCGCATGGGAGTATGACAATTGACATGTATATATATGTAGGATATGACGAAGCTGATGAATAGTGGTAAATCGAGCACCGGGTGGGGCAACAAATTTGGGTTTGTACTCTTGCCTGTATACTACTTTCATAAGGCTTCAAATGATTCTCTCCAGTTTGTCAAGAGAGCCAAATCTATGATTGACAAGAAAAAACTATCCTTAGAAGCCCTTTGCTCCTACAAAATAGGGGATTTTGTCATGTCATTCCTCGGTGTTAAGGTGCTCTAATACTCTATACATTAATTTATACATCCATATTTTTTTTAGTTTCATAATATTAGAGGCGTTTGCATTGTTGCATGCATGTATGAAATGTTTCATTCTGATCCAAGTCGTTGCATATAGCTGGCGAGCATGCTCAACTATCGGATCTTATGTAACACAACATTCCTAATTACAAATGTGATTGGCCCACAAGAGCAGATCTCCATTGCAGGCAACCCAATCATGTACATAAGATCATGCACATCAAGCTTGCCTCATGTATGTACGATATTAATTACTAGTGCAATCATGTATCGTGAACTCCCTTCGTCCAGTTTAAGACTTTAAGCTTCTCACGTGCATTTTTTGAATATTCCAACTAAAGCTTCTCGTTTTAATTTTATGAAATAATTAGCATCCTTAAATAACAAGTTAATAATCAAATATTAAAAATAATACACTGATACACATAACATCATACTCCGTAGTTATCATCAATGATCTCACTAGGTTATATAACTATCAAAACTATTTCTCAAAGTATACTCAAATTAGCTTATTATTATTGTTTTAATAACTATGTCATTTTTCAACGAGAAGCTTAAGCTGGGACGGAGGTAGTATTTTAAATGAAAATTCCCTTAATAGTAGTAAATCATAGTGAATTTTCACAAATAGGAGTACCATTGTTTTCTTTCCGAAATAGGTCTTGTGCACTCTTATTTAAGGAAATTAAACTTTTGTTCTTTTAACTATGCCAATGAAATCATATTTGTGAAAGAAAACATGTTTAGTCATATCTTTGAACATTCCCTATATATGTTTTACTCCTATTTTGGCACAACAAAATTTTCATTTTAGTTACTAAATACATAAACTTTAATTACTAACTCTAACTTAAATATTACCCAGGAAATATTAATTTTATCTTCAATTAACCTTGTAAACTATTTTTAATCCATTTGAAATGGAGAGAGTACTAAAAACAAAGTATGATATATTTTGTGAAGTTGAGGTTATTTGTAGATAGGTATTAATAATGCAGCATCATGCTTGCAGGCGATCGCAATATATATGGTGAGCTATGATGGCAAGGCATACCTCCAAATTTTAGTTGCCAAAGACATCATCCCCGACCCCAAGGTTCTAGCCAGATGTTTTGAAGATGCTTTGATGGCAATGAAAAAACAAGCTGAGATGAACAATCCACACCACATCGATCCATGTGAACAAAAAACATCGTAGATGTCATCGATCATCATCTAAATCCATTAGACCACTACGTGCACTTTAATAATGTATTATCTCAAGACTCATGTGTAATTTTCATAATTCTGTTTATCATAAATATAAGGCTAAGACATCCAATGTGAATAATATTGTTACCACTCGTTTTGTCGACCGTTGAGGATTATTTACCATGGAGAACTCAGTTTGAATCCTTCTAAGTATCCCACAGTCTCTTGGGGATACTAGATGGGTCCATTCAAGTTCCCCCATCCACCACAACTGATTATCATCACTGGTTAAAAATTGAAAATACTTTACGATCTTGACTTTTTGCTACTCTGACCATTGTGTAATTTCACTTCTGGTATTAATTATGCTGATTATTTTCCTACCTCTGCTACTCACACCATTAGTGCAGGTTTTCCATCTGTGGATAATTCCAACCAGTCCCCGCGACCTCCGGTTGTTTTTCAATTGTGTTTTACTCCAGGTCATTCCGCCCTTCACTGCTCGTGTTTCACTTCTTCCAGTACTCCCGCTCTGGCTGCTCTATCTACTGGTGAGACACATGATTCGTTCTGGTATCCTGATTCTGGGGCTTCCGCTCACATGACTCCTCATGAAGGTATTCTATCGTATAAAACTTCTTACACTGGCCCGAATGAAGTATGTGTCGCTAATGGTACTACTTTACCTATTTCTCATATTGGACATTTAAATCTAGTCACTTATGGTCGCCCGTTAAATCTTAACTTTGTTTATCACGTCCCACATATTAAATATAATTTACTATCTGTGCAAAAATTGTGTGTGGATAATGCCTGTCAAGTTATTTTTTATAAAAATTCTTTTTCTGTTATGGACAATCAAACGGGGGAGCTTCTTCTTCAGGCACCTAATAGAGACCATGTGTACCCTTTTCATGCCTTTTAAGCCTGAGTAGTTCCTGGTCTGATTTGGCACAAACGTCTGGGGCATTATGGTGAGAGAGTTCTTGGTCGTCTTAGGCAAAATAAATTAATTACTAGTTCTTCTTCCTTTAATCATGATTGTGTTTCTTGTAAACTGGGTAAATCCCACAGACTACCTTTTAGTGATGCTACACATGATACTACTGCTCCGTTGCAAATTATTCATTGTGATGTTTGGCAGTCTCCAATTTTATCAAATTTGGGCTTTAAGTATTACTAGTAATCCACCCGTGCGTTGCACGGGATATAAGATTACATATATGTGATATGTAGGGTAGGGGTGGTCATAAAAACCGAAGCGAACCAGTACCAAACTTATACGTAATACATGCATTACATGGTACTGAACTAAATATCGGGAATCTAAAAGCTTTTATATGTTTTTATCCTGAATCGAAATCGTACCGTTTGAAACGGATACAGAACTGATCCTTGATTTTGAGAACCGAAAAAATTAACATAAAACAAAGAAGAAGAAAAAGTTTATTTTTTCTATAATATTCAACAACTTGATGACATTTTTTAATATTTTGACATGAATTTGATAAATTGAAGATATATTTATCTTGTGTACCATCATTTTGCTATATGTTTGTTAGTTTAGTTGCAATATTTTAGTACTTGTGAATTTAAATACAAAAATATCAATCTCTTGAATCTTTTCAAGTATTTAGTATACATTTTCTTGTATTTTTATCAACATTTCATGTGTATTAGTTGGTGTGGTGATATCTAATAATTGTAAAATTTGTCCAAAAATTTTAGCATGTGTTTTCAATTGTACCATACCATTTTATACCGTTCTGAAACACCATCATACCGAATAGTTCTACTAATAGGATTAGAACTGACCGTTAGAAACCTCATGGATACATTACAGGTTTTGAAAGAAACATGTGGATAGTGTTAATTTCACAAATGTTGTAGCTAAAAAAAGAAGGCACTATAATATAAAAAATATCTCAATTACATATTTACATTATCAAACAATTATATAAAGAATGCCACAACAATTTCAATAGTTTAACTTATAGTGATCTATGTTCTTGTACTCATCTCCATCATATCCAACCTAGGACCGGAACTGGGACCGCCCGGGTACTTGGAGGCGTGAACCGTCCCTGACCCTGATTTATCCGGGACTCCGGGTCGAACCTGCGCTTCTCCTGCCAGAACCATGTCCACCACTTATCCACCACTTATCCAACCATACGGCCATACCCCAATTTTCTTCACACTTGGTGAGATCAATATTTCCTATTTTCAAAGAAGTGCCAAAGTCACCTAATTGGGTTACACAGGAAACGTATTTTTCCCAAGGTTACAATATTCTATAACCCTCTTGAAGAATAGTCAAGCCAAGATTATTTCACCATATAATGTTATATTCACTATTTCAATTAAAAGAATAATGAAGAGAAAATTCAAAAGTAAAAAGGAATAGGTGCAACATGAAGGTAAATTGCTACTCTGCATTTTCATTACAAAGTACACCCTTAACTCAAAAGTTACTGTTCCAAAAAAAAAAACTTAGAAGTTACATCATCGTATTAAGATTCTCATATTCATCAAGGCAATAATCAGGAGCTCCAAGGCCAATGTTTATGGACCAAAAGTATTGAATTCCATCTATCTGAAAGATTTGGAGAGAAAAAATCAGACTTTAAAAACATATACAGTATTAAGCTCACTCACTAAAGACGCTCAAAGCATATATATTCAGCTAATTTGATATTAGGCGGTTAGATAATTTAGTTGATGCTGACATAGATAATTTACTTGACATTCTTTGTATCATTCTTCCATCCTTGAATGTTGAAATAGTTTGATATATATTTAGACACCATATTCAAAAGGCATATTTTAAACTAATTAATATCAGAGTCATCTGCACCAAGACATCAACATTTACCCATAGTGAAAATCATGATCATAGCATAAGTGAAGGCCATGAAAACAGACTAAATGGGCATGAAAGTTGAGGAAATGTACATATCTCGACATTCAAGATCAATAGTACACTTAGTAGAGTGTCAACTGAGCCAAGAGAATAAATGAGCAATGGATAAGAATCAGAATGGCTAATTGGTGAGTTTAGTCTCATTGAGCCCTAATCACTACACACAGAAGTTTGGCTGATTTTTTGAAAAGATAAGCAATTGGATAAAAGAATATCTTAGTTCTAATGTATTTATAAAGCACTATAGTTCTATTTGATGTTAAAAAATCCCTGCTCGGGAGACAACAAAATTTTACATTTATTGAAAATAAAGGAAGTATGATACGTTTGTAATTTCCGTGTGTTTATTTACGTTTTTAGTTAGTTTTGGTTGTTTAATATTTCGGAAATTACACACTTTCGGTGTAATAGTTTAGTTTGTTAAATGCTTGTAATTTGTTTAGATTAGGTTTATTCTGAGCTTAAACAGGTCCAATATCAATCAAATGATCAATGATGAAGGAAGGTGCAAGAGTACAAGACAAAAAGAAGGAAAAACTCCTGATTTTGGGGTATACTCGGTCGAGTATACCTTATACTCGATCGAGTACCAATACTGATTTTCAAGGATCCGATCCGGGAACAAATGAACATGCAAGGAAAGATTTGGCCACGTTCTATTGTCATACCCGATCGAGTACACCGACATACTCGATCGGGTATACATATAAAATCTACTCGAGTATTGATCGAGTATTGACCAAATTCAGGTTTCTACACATACTCGATCGAGTATATGTACATACTCGATCGAGTACTCGGCCTGCACTTCAAAAAGCCTATAAATACACCTCCTTTCCTTCACTTTAAGATGACTCCTTCTTCCATACTCTTAAGCTCAGTTTAGAATAGTATTTATTTTATATTTTTATAGCATGTTTAGTCTCCAAATGAGGAGCTAAACTTCCATTTCTTGGTATTGCTCTTGAAGCTTGTTGATTATTAAAGTTGTGAGTTATTTTCTTAACTTCTTTTCCTTGAATATTAATTTTTCCTTTAAATACTATTTCTATATCAATGTTGGGGAGTGTTACTAAGATGACAATTAGTTAACATCTTGACATTGGTCTTAGTAATAGCTATTCATTCCTCTATGTTAATATCGGGGAGTGTTACTAAGATGACAATTAGTTAACATCTTGATATTAACTATAGTAGGATTCATCTTCTTTAATATTCTTCCTTGAATATTAATTAATTCCTATTCATATTTCATATTAATATTTTGAACATTACTTAAAGGATCAACTAGTTTTGTTTCACATATTAATTATTACTAGAAACGATCAACGAACCGATGGTTAATCGTTGATAGTTTCATAAGTAAGTAACTTCGGTTTATTAATGCACGGTCGTGGTTAATAAACTTAAGAGGGATTAATTTTGTTGGTTAAACCGAAACCGTTGTGTTGAGGTTATCAATCTCAATTGATTTCATCAAGGAGTTAAAAGATTAAATGCTACTATCAAGTCGGTATATGGCGTTGTTCTATACTTGACTAATAGTAAGGGTTATTAATGAACGGTCGTTGTTAATAACTACCCTCGATGAATTGGATATACTCCTCGATTGAGTATTCGAGAGGAGATAAGTTATAGATATAACAATGATCGACTAAAATATATCAACAAGTGTAAAGTAGCAATACCAAGTCCCTTTTATCTTTGAATTAAACCACATAACTCGTTCATCTTCGTGTTTAATTTTAATCAAATCACTCGATCAAAACCCCCCTTTATTTACTAGTTACATAAAAAGAAGAGTTATTTCTTTCCCTGTGGATACGAACTCTACTACGCTGTACTACGTATTAGTGCTAGTATTGAATTTATTTTGAGTGCACTCACGACAAAGTGCACGTCAAAGTACTTCCTTCGCCGAATATATTCAGATTTTTACTTGACACACAAAATTAAGAAAGTGAAACATTATGAGTTGAACAACAACACCTTTATCTTAAAAATCAAATCAAATAGGAGTTATTTTGGGACTAAGAAATGTAAAGTTTGTCGTGGGACGGATGGAATAAAAGCAGCATTTCACCATGATAGTTCTAGTAGAAAAATACACGTGGAATTAGTAAATTAAATAGAAAATATGATACTCTAATGGCCCGATATTTGCCACCAATTAAGTTAATCACAGAATGAAATTTACTCTTACCGATATAATCAATTGGAGATTTACTCTTCTGCCCAATAACGAAAGTATTTTGGAGGTAAAACATGAAAATTACACTAATTAACTATTGAACAAAGTCATTTATTCACACAAAGTAATTGATTTCCAAGCTAAATACAATATATGAATAGACACTTG